CTTTCCCTTTGTTAATTAGGCCTGAACATATGTTATTTTATATATAGTTCAGTCGTCATCGCACATTTTTTCTCCCCATATTTCGGTTTTCTCTTCATTTCCACATTCCTCATTATATAAATGTACTATTAGTATCATGTTGTTAATGTATATTGTTTTGTCCCTCCATCAGGTAAAAAAACTGAATGCTATGGTGGCAGAGAAGAAGGCAAGCCTAGCTCCTGTTATCAAAGAACTGAGACAGTTGCGTCAAAAGTGCCAAGTTAGTAGAAACACTTCTCTCGTTCTGTGTAAATAAAGTCAGAATCACAAGTAAGTCTAATTTTCAGATCTCTGTAGTGCTGTATAAGGACATAATCAACACTGAAGGAAAGCTGGAAATAGCAGAATGGGTCAACAGTGATTTGCAACAGGCAACATGTTAAAGACTGGAATTCATAAAAGCTGGCAGTGCGGGCACAAAATCAGGTTGAAAATTTTGTCCTTTATAGCAATTTAAAAAAATTACTACACTGGGGAAAATTTAAAAAATCATGGTTCAAAACCATAGGAAAGTTAGTTTTCAAATTGGTTTCAAAGCTTTTTCTGCATCTCATCACTAATGATCTCAACTAACGCTCTCCTTTTTAAGTGGATTGCAAATAATGTCTCATCCAAATAGTTGAATACATTGATCTAAGTCCTGTATTAGTCTGTAGGAATGACAGATTTATCCATTTGTTTTCAGAATTTTATAGAGAGCTGGAAAAAAGTCATTCAGGTCCACAGCTGCTCTAAGTTGGCTCATTGCCACAGAAGTAAATAGAGCTATCCATTGATCTATCAACCGAATTTCCAGAAAACTTACTTTTAATGGTTCTATTAAAAGCATCAGCAAATTAAATCCAGCTAAGGTGTTTGTTGTGTACAACTAGAAAGCTGGCTTTTCACAGGTAGCAAGTATATTAATCCTTTCCTAATCTCTATTTTTATAATTATTTTTCCTTTCTTCTTGCAAACCCTGCCCTTTTAACCTACCACATTACAGCTATGGATGTGGCTGGGAGAGGAAATTTGCATGCTGTGTTGTGGTGTATGCAGCTGATCCTCCAGTATGCGAGCGGAGGCTCGTGGCTTCCCCGTGTGTAATGACACCCATGTGCCTGCTAGGTTTATGTAAGTCTCTGTGAGCGTGCCAATAGCTGAGGTTGATGTGTGAGACCGACAAGAACACAGTCTGCCTGAATGTCACATGTCAGTCAATTGAAGATTTCATTTATGTACCCTTTTGCCCTTTTCACGTAAGGAATTAACGCAAGAATGCGATGAAAAAAAAATCCAATACGACAGTTGTGCAGCGGGGTTAGAGAGCAATCGCTCTACGCTGGAACAGGTAAGATGGTGGTTAATAAACGCGGTGCAATGTATTATTCACTGTGGTACAATATTTCCCCTGCCTTCCCTCTGGATATGGAAAGTACCAATCCACTTCAGGTGGAAATGAGTCAATGGTGATCCACAACTCTGCAAATCATGCCTGAAGCTGCTGTGGACTAGCTACAGGCGCACACATCTCCTGTCCCGAATAGCAACAAATGAACTCTGGTACATTGGTCCATCCACCGACATCCAGCTTTGATTAGCAAGGATATCGTAAAAGAAGATGCATCTGCCAGAAATCCTGCTGACCTAGATAGCATCTCTTAGGAAAGAATTTGATCGTAAAATAAGGATTAATTTATCAAGACAAATCTTTATATGGATTTAGCAGATTCATTAAGTTAGCAACCAGTCCAACGCATAATTAATGTACTGAAATTGATGGCAAAGATACTTCATTAAATGTGACTGTCTTGCATTCTTGCATACAACAGTTTTTTAAAAATACAACCAAATGGGTATATCTAAGAGCCTGGGTGTATGTAGTTTATGCATTGCTTGAACTATAGCACTTTTAGGAACCACTGCAATCCTTTAAGGTGGGGACAGACACACCAATATTAATATGTTTATATGAATCTGCTTTGTCTCGCTAGATCTCCTCCTGTGAATTTTATCTGGACTTGATTTTTCAAGGGCTTGCCCACACGAGGGATAGATATATTTCAAGATAAAAAAGGCGTACATTTAAAGCGTGGGTGAATATGTAGATAATTCTTTTCCTGCACTAAAAGTACCTTTGTATGGCTTAATCCAAGCGAAAGAAAAGAATCCACAGATGAACCTACTATGAAGTAGACCTTCCATATGAACTATTTTACAATAGCAATCAAAGCTTTTTTTCTTGGCAGACAAGTCTTAGTCATTTTCTGACACACGATGACAATCACATCCACTGATTAAGCTGGACATGACTGTCAGCAAACTCTCGCAGCTGAACAGTAGAATTCAGCTTTCTAGCTGATGGTCTCAAAATCACACAGTGGCAGAGCTTTGGAGTAGACAGCTGCTGTGCAACCTGGAGTACATGAATTCCGTTTGGATTATTAGGGGTTTTTTGGTATGGGCCATTTAGAGATGGGACTAACCTGCTATCTCCATACTCCTCAACATAATTATTGATTGCTAATTAACATACTATTAACATGTCTGTAGCTTCTAACATACATTTTGCAGATGTGTTCCTGGAAATGCTTATTCACAACTGTATTTTGCACTTAAGATGTGCTTAGGAACAAGAGTCTTGGCAGCACTTGCGAAGTGTCTGTTAGAAGTCAGTCATGTTAATAAACACCTATTAACAATCATTTAGCATCTCTAACTGTGACTGAAACTGCAAATCTAAAAAAATCGTCTTTCACCTTATAATTTGTGCTTTACAGAAGCCTTTTATAACCATTTAAGAAAATATCAATTCAGTATTATGCTTGTTTCTGTTACGGACTCTCATGGTTTATAGGGTTATATAGCAACACAGGGCATCTCCTGTGGACTTCCGGTTACGATGTCCTTTGAAATCTTATTCTTGTACTACAGGAAGTGAAAGGACTTCTGGAGGAGTGTGCTCAGGAAGAAAGCAACTACCGTTATATTAACTGCATGAAAAAGGTAAGATCACAAGAGGGACCAAATTGTTCATTGTGAAATGAAATAGGAATTATTTTATATATATATATATATTTTAAAATTATGTATTTCTTTATAGAATCTAGAAATACAGCTGCAGCGTGCTAAAGAAGAAATGAAGGCATACGTCTCCCCAGACCCACAGGAGCGACGAAAGGCAATTCGGTAAGTATATTAACATGTTTCCTTTGTGTTAACTTGAGGATATTCATGAACTGAGGTTGAAGTTAGGAGTTTTCTCACTGGCATTTGAACTGGAGGAGTTCACCTGATAAATTTAGAAACACTATAATAATCTAAAAATAAGCAGCTCGAATTCCAGTATATACTGCTGTAAACCTACGAGTTCTCTCAGACATACCAAAAGATTTTCCCTTCCTGCTGGAGATTATAGGCCCCAGATAGCGGTTTTAACTTGCAGCCCCTCTTGGCACAAGCTCAGAGAAGCTGTGCTTCAGCTGGGTCCTGCAGGAAGTGTGGCTCTACCAGACATAATGCCGCTGCCAAGTTTCCCCCTGAGACTCCAGCGCGCAGGAGTAGAAGGTCTACCACCTCTCAGAGAGCAACCATATGCTGCCCTTGGATTCTGGCCATTTCTTGCAAACCTTCTACCCTTCTTTCAGGTATAATAGCGGTCGCCATCACTGGGACAGGAACAGAGGACTGCATATACTCATCCTAAATGGATTTTGGTTTGCTCCTATTTGCAGTTCTTACTGGAAGTAGAATGAATACTGTTCTGCACCATCACACTAACCTTCATCTTTACATTCAATTTAATTGAATGTAAATATAGACAAGTTGCTTCATCCTGGGAGATTTTTCAGGATGCCTTGCCTTTGCCTGGTAGGGAGAGAAGCAGAAAAGGTTATGAATTGAGCTGAGGATTTTTTTTTTTGCGTAGTTTTCTATTTTAAATGATGCAGTCCTGCCAAAGATTGAAATGTTTTCTGAGAATGAGATATTTTGAATTAGTTATCTGTGCTAAGAAGTCTAAACGTTACCATGTCATATAGATTTTTTTGCACTTTACTGCATACTAAATATTTTTTTTTAAATACTCAGTTTAAAATTTTGTCTATAAAAGTCGAAACAAAATTCAGGCAATAAAGTCAACAAGCTGGTTCAGCTCCATCAAAACTAAACATCAGGAAAATCCAAACCAAAACATTTATAACTTTCATTTGGTAAAAGTGTCAAAAATTTATTCTGTTTTTTATTCTTCATAATTACGTTTTCAAAATTCCAGAATTTTGCATGACATAGAAATTCTGTTTTCCAGCTAGTTTTATCTTTGACCCCCAAAAAATTTCTTAGATCCTAGCTGTCAACAAAATAAACAAGCTTGAATTGTTGCCACTAATTTTACAAAGTGGTCCTTGGCTTTCACACCATAGTATTTCTCAGTCATGAAAATATTTATCAGAACAGTAGTTTTAAAATTCATGTTTGCTGGGTTTGATCAAGGGTCTTTTTGTTTAATTTTTTAGTGAATGGAATGAGTGAAAAACACTCTGATGTTTTGAAAGTAGGATTGAGTCTCCTTAAAGGTGTAGTCATTACCGCACCAAGGAATCTCCATAGAGTTTATCATTTTAGGTCAGAGCAGAGGGGCATCAGCTCTGCCTTGTACCTCTCCATCTCACAGTCTGCATCAATCAGCATTCCTCCGGTTTGCTTTATTGCTCAGGCTTTAAAAAAGCCACAGCAACAGAGTTCCTTGATGCGAGGCCTTTTCTTAGGTTTTTGCATTTGTATTTCAGAGACAGGACAGATTGTTGCTTGAGATCTGTGTAATCTGTCATGTCAGAGCTGTGGTTCGCGTACAGTCTTCTGTACAATGTGCCAAAATGCTTCACAGAATTGTCCCATTCACAAAACAATTTAAGAACATGACTGAGTGGCAAAGCAAAGATAGAACTGCTTAATGAGATCATTAATAATCATTCTACATTCCATTTGAAAGCTTCAGACTGTCCAACATGCTGACATGACAATGGGAAAAGACAAACAGTAGTTATCTGTCGCTTCTCAAAGGAGATGGAAGAATAAATTAATTTCCCAAGGTATCTGTCCTCTTAGGACTTTTTACCTTTCAGAATAATTTCTGGACCTTTCTGTTGTAGTGGTGGCAACGAGGGAAGCACCGTTAGTTGGTAGCATACGTAATCAAATGTCATTCAGTACCGCCAGAGGCAATTTCTTCACTCGTGGAGTGAAAAAAGGCAGTAGCTGCCCACTAAGATTTTATGGGCTCTGGAATGGGGCCATTGAGATGGATAGCGACGTGTCAAACTGAGTGAGAAAACTCTAGGGATCCCCTCAGGAGACACTGAGAGATGAGGTCTTCTTCCTTTATCAGATCCTTCATGACAGAAGCCGTCCCGGTGCACCTTGCACTGGTATCAGTGGAGCTGCATCTCCTGCGGTTCTAGAACACAAGGCAGAGGTCACTAGGAAATGAAGGGCTAGATGAATATCCATCACAGAGACCTTCTGCAAGGATCTGAGGCATGAAAATGTTTAAGCACTAGGTAGCAAACAATGTCGGAAAAATAAGAGTAAGAAAAGAATGAAAAGTACGAACGTTAGGGTGGGAGAAGAAAAGGAGGAGGAGATAGAATGTGAGTGGAGGCTAAGAAGCTTCTTATTCCGTCCCACAAAATAATGGAAGGCTGTAGGGAATAGAAGATTTGTCTAATGAAAGATGATGAAACAGCAAAATTAAGCAGAAGGCTGAAAAGAGATGTGGCTGTGAGAAAAATCGTAGTGATCATGTGAATATTCATTAGTATGAAAGGCAAGACAGCTCAGCCAAGCAGCTGAGAGGAAATGCGGGTCAAACAGCAGGCGCTCTCCTTTTATGGCCTCGCAGGGAAGGGGAGGGTCTGAGTTTATTCACAGATGCTGAGCAAAAAATGCTCCAGCTGAAACACTTGTGAAATGAACATCCACAATGTGAGCATTCACACAGACAAGCCATCAAAGCCAAATGCTGGAATTAAGCGCGAGTCCAACTATGTAATTCCGGGTATGGTGAGGAGAATGCGAAGGGAGCATTACCACTTTCTCCGCTGTCCCTGTTTCACTTGCTAACTGTGGGCACAGAAGCTAGGGAAATTATCCCGCTCGCAGTGACTATACACATTTTTGACCTTCTGTAAGAGGTCACAGACCTGTCGCATTTAAATGAATTACAACAAAGTACAATATAGAGATCTTTGCAAAATGTAAAATGAGACGGTACAATTTTTTTCTAGACATCCTTTTAGAATGTGAATGTATTTTTCAGCAGGCACTGGAATGTAAACGGAGTAAAAATGAACCATAAATAGAACAGCACTTTCCTAACAGCGTATTGAACAAAAAATGTCTTAATTCTGACCCTCTTTATTGAATATAAACTCTCTGTTCCGTGGAGTCACTTCTTTGGAATGTGAAAAGTTAATTTTCTTTTCTAAAAATAGAAAGTTGGGGGTTTTTAAATGAAGTTATTGAGTTGCATTCTTTCCAGTCATCCTTATAAATAGTAAAGAAAAACTTACTAGGAAAGACATCTAATCTTCTGATGATTGCTTTGAAAACTCTACTGAAAAAAAAAAAAAATATGTTCTTGAGGCCAAATGTGTGTGAACATATGCTGTGTGCCAGTGGAAATAAGATTCAGCGTGGCTTTCCATCTCTTTGATTTGGTGAGGATTGCTAGGGATCAGCTGTGCAGCGCAGCACTTGGAGCAGCCTCAAGACGGCTCTCATTTGTTCGGGCTAGAATTGTCCAAGAGTGAGAGATCATAAAATGATCCCGCTTCATTCCTTGCACGTCCGTTCTGCGGGGAGCGTGGCAGGCAGGACCAGGTGGCCAGGGGCCCCAAGTGCTCCAGTCAAAAGCCTGGAGTACTTAGAAATGGAAGGAATATAAGAAACGCAATGCCTTGGTTCTACACGGCTGCTCACCACGCGCTAGCAAACCTTCACACTCTGGCATCATGAAGGCGGATATTTCTTTCTGGAAATTAGGATTTCTCTATGCGATGTTCTTCTACCCTGAGCGATTTGGGAAGTTCTTTAGATGAGCCGGGTTATTTTGTATTCCACTAGCAAACTCTCAACCTCTAAGTGTACCTGTTACACACAGAATATAATAATTGATTTTTTTTTTTTTCAAGTGAATCAGTGAAGCGGTTTTTTATTGTTACATTTCGGTAAATTTTAAAATAAGTAGATAGTAATGTATCTGAATCGTGCTGTTACGGTTTGCATATTATATTGTCAGATTTCATGTATCAAGTTTGCATATGTCAGAAAGTGATCCAGCCACTTGTTACAGACAAAGGTGTACAGCCAAGATTTTTAATAATGAATGTCAACAGTTACGCTTCTAAGCCTATATTTAGGCACCTAAATGTGACGGCTGTTTTCTGAAAGTGAGGAACGCACAGCGGTTCCATTGCAGTCACTGGATTTGTTGAACCTGGGGTGAAATACTATTCCCCTTCATTCCTGTATTTTCCCACTCATTCTAACGCTACATTCACAGCAGTTAAGGGCTGTGGGTTTGTAACCTCTGACGCTTGCACAAGTGAGGCCGCTGGCTAACCTCAGAATATCACCAGGATAAACGCATTATTAAAAAGGGATCAAGTATATCTTATCTAAGTGATTTTGCTGTTGTCTTCAAGCTGGAAGGAGCGGTAATCATGCCTGCTTCAAAAATGTAAGAGATCTTATCCAGTATCACTTTTCCCAACTGCAAAACTGAGAGAATCAGAGAGATCTGATCCTTGATGTCGAGGGATGCGTTGTCCAATGACAAAAAGGTTTCTTCATGCTTCCTCCTCTATCTCATTTATGAACCTCCCAATCCTTTCATAATTTCCCATGCTTGCATCGTTATTCTGTCCTATTACATAGAACTAAATAAAATCATAATAAAATGATTTTATATTTCCTTTAGAGAACAGTATACACGAATGATCCTTGAACAAGAAAACCTTGGGAAGGTAAGAATGAGGTTTTTACCTTGTAAAAACATTGTACAGTTCATTTTTTTTTGTGGGGCTTATTACCAAAGGCTGTGGTCAGTCTTTTATAAAAAGCATATTGCAGCCTACAAAGAAAATTCCATTACTGCTGGCATTGGTAACTAATACCCTGAAAAGAGATCACGCTCGCTCTGCAGGGCTTGATTTCCTGCAGAGTGTAGCATGAGCCGCTTGTAAAAGATAGTCAAACAGCTTAACGTGACAGCACATTCCCTGAAAACCATTGGGATAAGAAACTGAAACATGGGCATAACAAACTGTGCCAGCTCAAATTTTATGTTGTATATAAAGCAACCTGTTGAAGACAATAAATTTTGAGCCTGTCAGCCTTATCACTGTTATTAAAGGCCAGGGGATCATCAGCGCAGCAGTGTTAAACAAAAGCAGTTGTCCATTTTTAATCGTGCATGAGGCTCAGATCAGCATGGACGAGGTTCGGCTTACCAATTCACACTAAACGTCTTTCTTTTATTAGTTGCCTTTTTATGAAAGTCTGTGAGTGATTTCTACAGGTTTGGGCTGCCACTATTAATAATCGGTAGCAGGTTTCATTGTAAAACATTAATTTCATGTTTATAGTAGCATGATATGAATCCTTTGCAGCTTGCAACTTGATACTGCAAGAGCTCAGAATTTTAGCATAACTTCTCAAATACAAAAGACCATTATTTAGACAGTTTGAAAACATTGGAATAATTGTCAATCCGTACAAAGCAGATATCCAAGCCCCAGGCGTTAATGCATTTATCACTTGCAAGGAGTGTTATCAACTTGAACAAAGTAATATTTCAGTAGCATATAAAAATCTTTGTCGTTTCAGGCTGCCTATGTAAGCAATTTTTGTGGCATAGAACTGTTCCAAAAATCTAATATTTTTGTATTTTTAACAGAAATTACGAGAGAAGCAGAAAGTTGTACGGGAAAGTCACGGGCCAAATATGAAGCAAATTAAAATGTGGCAGGATTTTGAGCAGTTAATGGAATGTAAGAGAGAATGTTTTCTGAAACAACAAAATCAAACGGCCATTGGTCAAGTCATTCAGGAAGGAGGTAAAGATAGGCTTGTATTATGAATTCTTCCTTCTTGATACCAACATAAAGGAGGACGACAGTGTGTTGGCTTCCTGAAGGTAACCTTTTACTAAATATTGTTGCTTTCATCACTTCTACGTACATTTGTTGTACATTATTTGGTTGTGGTGGATAAACAAAGAGAGCAACTAAGCACTCTGCGAAGCTTTTCCTCCATTGTTTAAGTGACAACATAACGTGGTTAGGAAGATCTGTTATGAGAGCTGCACTAGGGTGAACCTCATCGTAAATCTTTGTTTTATGAGGCTGGGAATGGCATGCATCTGCAGAGAGATCAAAGTAAAAGAAATCCTTCTCCAGGGTCACAGAAAACTTACGTAATTGCTCTGCTCCTTATTCTCTATCACTAAGGTTACGTTTTTGGAAGGCCTGGGACTTGATATTGTATAATTGTGGCCCTCCTGGCTTGGCCCTCTCCTTCCCTATTGTCTGTATTCATCTAGTGTGACTGGCAAGAATGGAGCCATTTTCGCTCTGAGCTGCACGGACCTTGCCTGCACACTCCTAGTCATACTTTCCTTGCACGGTTGAATTAAACCGATTGTGCTTCCAGGAGACAGTTCGTTGCTACAGCGTCAGGCGTAGGTTCTGAGAACAATTACTTGGATTCTGAGTTTTTTCCATTATCTTCCGTTGTTGTTTTTTGTTATATTTTTTCTTCTTCTATTTAGGGTCATCCCAGGGACGGAGGGTTACTGATGTAAATATGGCACAGTGGCTCTTGCATGTGTTAGGGTATGCAAAACAGGTTGACAGGCAAGGCTGCCTTGTACTCTGGCTTTGACCTGTGAGCTACAGGCAACTGTCACTGCCTTCAGATTGCATCATGAGACCCACAGCTGACCCCAGGGTAAGAGGAATGTAGGTGAGGCTTGAAACTGTCCTTCACGCTTCATCATTTCGGATGAGCACCTCTTAGCCACAATCAAAGATCAGAAGCAGAGAGAGAAGTCTGCGGGACCAGAACTCCTGCTGTTCTTCTTTAGTCTCTTGGCTTACTGAATATCGAGATAGTGGGGTTTGGTTGGGTTTTTTTTGTTTTTCCTGCCTGAAGTAAAATGTCTTTTCAGGACATAAAAAATAATTTCGCTTTCTCTGGTACATAACTATGAGATCTTCTGCTGTTTGATATATCAAGAGAGAGTATGGTAATTATATAGTTCCTAGTTTGCCTTTGCATTAAATATATTTGTTAACAGAACTAAAATAAAATCCGATGACTAAATTTTGACTGTATGGTATTCTTTTTTTTACATTTCTTAGGTGAAAGAAGATAAATTGTTAGTGAGAAGTAGCTTGCTGGGCCACAGGCAAAGACGGTTTGAATGGGTCATTTAATGAAATTTATTTCAGATGCGCCCCAAAGGGTTCAAAACTGCGGGGCGTGTGTAAGGAGTGGGTCTCAGATCCAGATTCCCAGGACATCCTCATGTAAGCCCTCCCACACTGCTGAATAGCTGAAGATAGTCTTTCTCAACAGCTGCACGCTGATCTTTCCCAGGGCAAGGAGAAGCAGCACATTTTCCCCTACGCACATTTTCAGTGAGCGTGGAAGGCAGGCGGTTGTGTAGGACACAGGCACAGGTAGAGCTGGCTGGGGTGGAAAGAATGTGCGGCACTGCCACCACCCACTGATTGCACGGCAGGAGAACGGGCTTTGGTAAGGCACTGAAGGGAGACCGTATCGATGGGAAGGGAGAAGCTCAGGAGGAGGGCATAGGCAATCTATATAGTGTGGGCACAGCCATCTCCAGAGACACCTATACATGTTCTCCCTGCTAGCCCTGTACCATTATTGCCATACTTCACCTGCGTTGCACCATAGGGCCTCTTGATCTGAAGAAAGTCATGGCAGTCATATAGCCGGACTCCTAAAGGAGGGTTTTGCTGAATACTTGCCAGCAATAGTAAAATAACACAGACAACTAGATGCGAGACATGCTGAAAACATAGGATAATCACCAAACATGGGCATTTAGGTTACTTAGGAATCAGCCTATGGTTCAGAGTCACCAGACAGGGCAGGGAGAAAGGGGAGTTTATATACTTCAAGTCAAAGCTTTTAACAAAACCCGAAAAACCCTATTTGACGAGACCATTTATGCAAAGATGTATTACAGGGATTAGCCTGCTGCCCAGGAAAAAGCAATGCTTTTGAAATTCATGGGCAATGATGTAGAGCAAGACTGAGTATAATCATTTTCTGTTTTTCTGTTCAGAGTTACCCTAAAAATAGTTCATCTTTCTTCCTTGTAAAAACAGTTTATTGCTAGTTACTCAAAGATGACGTGATTGTTGTTCTGATCTGATTAGTGTTCTGTCATTTGTACTGCACCAAGAAAGGGCACACAGATTATACACTACAGCAGCAGCAAAATGACTTTCTGAGATGAAGCAGAAAATCATAACTGTTGTGAAAAGAAAACTGGAAAAACTCAAATGCTATTTTTAGCTTTTTATATAAGTGGACATTTAATAAATGCAACTTTAATGGATTCTGTTCACTGGCTTTTCCACCTAGTTCATGATTTGATGGGAGCATTCAAAAATCTTTGAATTTCATAGTTTTCATCTTTACTTGCAACAAAAAGCTTACTTCTAATTTTTTTACTTTGTTATTATTAATAGTCTAGCCAGTTAACTAATAAGATTAAACATTACCATATGGAAAAATACCTGCCTTTCCCTTGTGAAGGTCCAAATAAATAAAAAATGCGCATAGCTAAATTTGGGGCTCCAGCACTTACCAAATTTCTTCCAGTTGTAACACTGATCCGAGCAGTCACTCGTGAGCAGCAGCTTACTTTGTTTCAAAAGGCTTCTTCTTATCTTTACCCAGAACTGGATGAGGAAGTATTCCAGCTATAAATCTACTATAGCATTCTGCAGTTTTGCATTATTTAGTCACGTTGACTTCAGCTGTCCTTAGAGCTACAGGCAAGTTCCACATGGGCCTAAGAGATGAAATAGTTACAGGCATCACAAATAGGCATGAGAAAACAGTACATCTACCGAGTTATATGACAGCCATTTTACCATCTGGGTATCAGATTATTTTGTTTATATTAGTGATACCATTTTACTTCCATTTGAACTACAATAGATAAAATAAATGTTCTTAGACTTCCCTAAGTAACCCAAATCTAGGATTTCTTATTTGTATATCTTTATTCACATGGATATTACTACTGATGAAGTCATATGCATATAGTTGCCCACAATCATAAAAGTTAGGCCCTGCGATTGTATTTATTATGTTGAAATATACTGATTTCCAGAGCTTTCTTGATGCAGCAGTACGATGCTGCTCACTGTTACAAACTACAGTACAGCAGAAGTATTTAGCACCAGTTCAGTGCCTAGAAAATGTCCTCACAATGAGATGTTCTGATTAATAAGCATGGATAGTATAGTCCCCAATCAGCAATATAAAATCTGTTCGCCAAGTGACTTGCCGGTTCAGGAACTGGAAATGAAGCACAAAGCTGCTTCTCCTTAGATCACTATTTCATGTCTGGCCCAGATGAACAGCGACTGAAAGCTCACTGCTAACTACCTGGTGGCTGCCCTCAGCAAGTGATCTGCGAGAGCCATTTGGCAGTATCAGTCCAATTCCTAAATCACCACTCTGGCAGTGTTTGGCCAGCCTGGAGCCAGCTTCCACATGAAGGCAGACAGATGTATGACTGAAAGACCACGGAGACTGAAGTGCTGTCACCCGAAAGATGTCCCCTTGGGAGAAAGGTCATGACACGTTGACACAGTGGAGTGTGGGAAGCTGTGACTCTGTCATCTTGTCTGTGGATGAGGAGAGCGCTGATGCTTGTAGATCTGGTTTCTCTCGTTGGCCCTGTATTTGCCCAGACTTAAGTGAAAAAACCAAAGAACTCAATCCGAATGTGTGCTCCGCGTTATCGTTTGTAGCAGTAGGTTTCCTGCTGAAGGAACGCTGTTAACTCTTCCGCTGCCTTTCTCTACTGCAATCTGTAATGGAAACAGAATTGAAATTTTCATGGACATGCCAGTGTTCCAGTGAGGAAGTAATACACGAATCAACAATTTTATCGCAAGGTACCACCTGTCTGGGCAACACCCAATTGGGTAGCTGTTTTTTAACAACCAGAATTTGACCTATTTCCAGCTTGTTTAAAGAGTTCTTTAAATTCTCAGCATGAATTTAAAATGGGTTCTCCAAATTCTCAGTGTCCCTGTTTCTGTAGCATTAGTTCCACAGTAGCAGTCTCCGAACTCCCAAGGCAATCCGTTTTATTCCAAGGTCATTGGATGAAAAGGGTATTTTTCACAATTGGATTACACTGATTTTCATGATTCTAGTTTACAGACAAAAAACCGCTGTAAGCCACTGTGCCGTGGTGATGTTAAACTCGACGAGGAGCTCTGCTGTTTGAGGGGGGGAGCAAACATATTCCAAAGAATCAGCAGGAACTGCGAGACAAATCACGCAGTCCTTACTTTCACGAAACCCTCACTGACTTCAGTGGGAGTTTTGCCAAAATAAGGTCTGCTGGATTTAGCGCTGTAGTCTTCCTCCTGACAGAACAAGCAGGAATTAAAGGGCCAGCATCAGATTTAGAAGACACAGAGAATACAATAGAACCGTAATTATCTAAAATAACAACTTTCATCCAACACAAATCAATGTTCCATTAGACACAGTCTAATTTATAACAAAAAATAAATGTTTGTGGAACTTTTTCTCAGCACAAGCAATCAAAATACACAAGTCCTTAGCAATACAGTTTGATTTTTATTCAGCATCTATGAGAGGCTCTCTCACACAAATGTAGTGCTGGAGTATTTATAGTGTTTATCATTAAAATACAACTTTATGCATTACCTTGTACTTAAAGGTATTATTGATATTTATTATTTTTAAAAAACGTATATTTTTACCTTTTTTTTGCATTTCCATTTCTCATAGTTTTGGAAAAAAGTATGTTTTTGCAAACTCAACCAGCATTTGCTGAATGCCAAGAAGTAGAGTTCTCTTCCTGCAAACGGATCTACTCAAGCCAATAACATGTCATTTTCAAGCTTCTAAATTGTATTGCAACTGCTCAAGTTTTAAAACCACTCATTTATACAATAAGCAGTTAATTAGGTCTACTCTTGAAATAGGATAAAGCCAAATCCTGCACGTTTTGCTAATACCAGAAAAAAAATGCAGTTGATAGGAGTATGGAAAATGGGACCTTACCAATTTTCAAAGACAAATTCCTTTCTCTCTCCCTACTTCTTTTCCCTGGAATGGAATAGAAAATATGCCTGGCACTTAGGGAGCAACAACAACAAAACCATAAAGGCATACATCATGTACAAATAATAACCATGTAAGGGAAATAATGAAGGAATTAATCTCAGAGTTTCTTCTTTATGAATTTTACAACTGGTTCATACTGAAAAAAAAGCCTACCCACAAAATTCTTAAGATTTTTCTGCAATTAAAATTTGTAGGTTTTTAATGCCTTTTTAAAAACTGGATTACTGTTTTTTAAATAGCAGTTGAAACTCTAAGGTTATAAAATATGAATAATTCA